TTGGGCTTTGCTGACCGTCGAGCGCGTAGTCTAGTGGTTTGGGGCCTTAACCAAATTTTTGATTTTTATAGCTCTCCGCCTAGCCCCTTGGGCTTCGCCAACCGTTGAGCGTGTGGTCTAGCGGTTTAGGGCCTTAACCAAATTTTTTATTTTTATGGCTCTCCACCTAGCCCTTTGGGCTATGCCGATCGTCGAGCGCGTGATCTAGTGGTTTAGGGCCTTAACCAAATTTTCAATTTTTATGGCTCTCCATCTAGCCACTTGGGCTATGTCGACTGTCGAGCGCGTGGTCTAGCAGTTTAGGTCCTTAACCATTATGGCTCTCCACTAGGAACAAAAATATTGTCGAGTTGTCGTGGGGGGTTAAAGCTACATATCAACATATAAATTGCCTGGTTTAGGGAGCTCAGGAGGCACACCGGGACGTCCCAGCTAGGCTAGCCTTTCCTTAGTGCCGTCATCATCTGCCACCTCCAGGGTCTTTCATTGAATATCATGAATAATTGCAATAGATCGTGCCTATAACAGGCCTTACATTAAGGAAACGATTAAACCAATCTATCTACTATATTTACAAAGGAAATAACCTATCTTTCTAAGTTACGGGTCTACTGATAGTACTTTTTGAGATATTCTGTATTCCATGACCAGACTATAGGCTCCTTTTTTGAAGTTGTGGATTACTTCATATGGCCCTTCCCAATTCGGCCCGAGCTTCGGTGGAGGGTGTCCTGCTGTGGCTGCATCTCTTAGTATTAGATCCCCTGGTTGAAAAACCCTGGATCTTACCTTTCGGTTGAAATATTCAGTGGCCCTTCGCTTGTATGCTAACATCCTTATCGCTGCCTTTTCTCTAGCCCCTTCCAGTAAGTCGAGTTTCGCCCTGGTGGCTGCGACATCAAATTGCTTGATTTTCATTCGACCAGTCTCACTCAAAATTTCAACGGGGACAACTACCTCCATCCCGAATGACAACTTAAAAGGTGTTTTACCAGTCGATTCCTGTGATGTCATGTGATACGCCCATAGTACATTGGGCAACTCGTTCGCCCAAAGTCCTTTCTCCTTTTCCAGCCTTGTCTTCAGATCCCATAGTATGGTTTGATTGGTCACTTCAGCCTGTCCATTTGACTGAGGGTTAGTGACTAAATTCAACATGTGGTCGATGTGGTAGCTTGTGTAGAAGGCTCTAAAACTGTGATTGTCGAATTATTTGCCATTATCTGTAATGACTACTCTGGGTACGCCAAACCTACATATTATATTTTTCCAGATAAAGCATACTGCTTCTTTTACATATGCATCTCCATTCCATAATGGAGAATGCCAATAGTTAGGATTAAGCCAACAAATTGGAATTCATTTATCAACAGATTTTTTTCTTCCATTTGAACTCATTTCAATAATTCTTTTAGTCGGGGCATTAGTTCGTTCTCACGTTCTTGAATCGATTGGAGTGGAATGATGAATCTATTTCTCCGCCTAAAATTAGGATTCATTTCTTGTCGCAAATATTCACTTGTAGCATACCATATTTCAATGGATTGGCGTAATTTTTCTACCACGTGGACTACCTGCACCTGGACAGAAAGACCCTATGAAGCTTCACTGTTCCCTGGGATTGGGTTTGGGCCTTTCCTGCGCAGCTTAGGTGGAAGGCGAAGAAGGCCTCCTTCCGGGGGGGCCCGAGCCATCAGTGAGATACCACTCTGGAAGAGCTAGAATTCTAACCTTGTGTCAGGACCTACGGGCCAAGGGACAGTCTCAGGTAGACAGCAACCCTGGGATTTGACGGCGGACTTAAAAAGCCACCTACAGACGCTTTACGCCCAATCATTCCGGATAAAGCTTGCATCCTCTGTCTTACCGCGGCTGCTGGCACAGAGTTAGCTGATGATTTTTAACGCCCGAACCATGATATGAAATAAGTCAGTCGATAAAGAAAAAATCTCCTTTCTAAAATTAGAAACCCATCGGTAAATGCGCAATATGTGACTCGCCTGAGGCAAGATCTTATGTAATGGGCTCATGAACGCACACCTTTGGCCAATTTGATTCGATGGAGAGATAAACCTGTGGCTCTTTCCATTGTCCAAGCAAGATTGGTTGGATTAGCCCACTTTTCTGTAGGTTATATATTCACTTATGCGGCTTTTTTGATTGCCTCTACATCGGGGAAATTTGGCTAATTTTTTAATGTGTTGTATCGCTATAATCTCATTTCTTTCGATGGAGAGAGGGTCTGGTTGTTGTGATGGTGGCCAAGGGCTCAGCCTACGCCCACTTAGTGAAGTAGTCTATGGAAACTAGCAAGAACTTTCTTTGCCCCTTGGCGGGCAAAGGCCCCAAGATGTCCATCCCCCATTGAAAAAAAGGACACACCCCAACAACTGTCGTATGCTGCTCGGCTGGATGTGGATCAAGTTTCCACGGCGTTGACATGCATCCCACTTCCTCACCAACTCCTTGAAATCTTCCTTCATGCTAGGCCAATAATATCCTTGTCATTGTGCCTTGAACGCAAGGGTGGTTGTCCTTTGGTGGTTGCCACAAATTTCTGCATGTATCTCGATTAGTACCTCTCGTGCTTCTGTCGACTGCAAACATTTTAAATACGGCATTGTGAAACCTTGCTTGTAAAGCAATCCATCGATGATGGCGAACGAGGTTGCTCGAGCCCTTAGCCTTCTTGTCATGAAAGCATCTTCCGGAAGCTTGCCCTTTGTGAGATATTCAATCAATGGGTCCATCCAACTTTCCCCATGCTCGACATTTACAACATCAACCGCATGCTGGATGCTAGGTCGTCATAGGATTTGCACGTTTGCTGTGCGAGGCAGATGTCTAGGTTTAGCGGATGCAAGCTTAGCCAATGCGTCCGCCCGCTCATTGTCTTTTCAGGAAACCTTTGTTATTTTAAACCTGGCGAACCCCTTCAGCAAATTTTTGACATCCATCAAATATGTTGCCATCTTTCTATCTTTTGTTTCGAATTCCCCTGTCACTTGCCCGACTATTAACTAAGAATCACTGCAAATTTCTACTGAAGTTACTCCAAGTCTGGCTGCCAGTCCTAAACCCGTGATCACCGCCTCGTACTCGGTATCATTATTTGTGGCTGGGAATCCAAAACGCAACGAGTATTCCAACTCTTCACCATTTGGCCCTATCATCACGATCCTCGCCTGTTCCCCTGGCGGGTGCTCGGGCGGAATGGTGAGCTCAGTGATGAAGTTCGCTAGAGCCTGCGCCTTAATAGTCGTCCTAGGCCTAAACTCAATATCAAACTCACTTAACTCGATTGCCCATTTCAACAACCTCCCAGAGGTTTCTGGTAGATGTAGGATCTGCTTGATAGGTTGGTCGGTCATTACTTGCACCGTGTGAGATTGAAAGTATGGTCTCAACTTTCTAACCGCGACAATTAACGTAAAAACTAGCTGCTCAACCAGGCTGTATCTTACCTCCGCGCCCCTCAATACTTGGCTCACATAGTAGACCGGTTTTTGTGCCTTTGAGAATTCTTTCACCAACACCGCGCTAACTGCCCATGGTGAGACTGCCAAGTAGAGACATAACACATCCCCGAGGCATGGACTGGTCAAGATCGAGGGCTCTTGTAATGACTACTTCAGGCACCTAAGTGACTCTTCGCATTCCTGGGTCCACTCAAAATTGGAGAAACCCCCTATAGCCTTGAAGATGTGGTAGCACTTGTCCACCGCCCGGCTCATGAAACGATTTAAAGCGGCTACCCACTCTATTAGTCACTAGACCTCCTTCCTACTGGTAGAGCTTTTCATTTCCAGTATTACCTGAATTTTGTCCGGGTTTACTTCGATGCCCCTTTGCATGATCATGAAGCCTAAGAATTTTCCTCCTGCAGTGCCGAAAACACACTTCTCTGGATTGAACCTCAATATGCTTTGTCGGGCAACATCAAACACTTTCTGCAAACAAGCCACATGATCATCAGCCTTAACACTCTTGACCACCATGTCGTCAACATAGGCCTCTACAACATCCCCGATCAACCCACGAAAAACTTTGTTAACTATCCTATGATAAGTCCCCGACATTTTTTAAATCGAATGGCATGGCTGTGTAACAGTATGTGCCAAAGTCTGTGATAAATGACGTCTTCTCCTGATCAGACTTGGCCATTAAGATTTGATGGTACCCAGAAAATGCATCTAGAAAGTTGAGCCTTTCATGACCCGAAGTAGCGTCCACCAAGTGATCTATCCTGGGAAGTGGGTATGAGTTTTTCGGGCATACCTTGTTCAACCAAGTATAATCTACACACATGCGCCACTTTCCGTTTCACTTTTTCACAAGTACAATGTTTGCCAACCGCTTGGGGTACTGCACTTCTCGAATAAAACCCGCCTGTAGCAATTTTTCTACCTTTGCTCTGGCTGCGGCCTGCCTCTTCGGGGAAAGATTTCTTTTTTTCTACTTTACTGGCTTAGCCCCTGGTTGGACATCAATGTGGTGCTGCGCAATGGTAGGGCTGATCTCGGGATGTCTTTTGGGCCCCAAGCGAAAACGTCCAAGTTACTGGCTAGACATTTTGTCAATTTTTCTTTCTCTTCGGATTCCAGACATGTTCCAACACTAAACTCCCGTCCCTTGATTATAAATATTTTTTCAGTCATATCGAGCAGCTCGATCCGTCCCCTCGGGAGTTCCACATCCAGCATCATGATTGGTGGTGAGCCTTTAGCCTGTATACTATCCACATAGCATTTCCTTGATGCATGTTGGTCCCTTCGCACACACCCGACTCCCTTACTAGTTGGGAACTTTAAAACCTGATGTTAGGATGATGGGACAGCACCAGCTGCATTTAGCAATGGCCAGCCATAGATGGCATTGTAGGCCATGGGGGTCTTGACAGCCAAGCAATTAGTCATAATCACCACTGTCGCTGGATATATGCCTAGCGTAACTCGAAGCTCCATAGTTCCTTCCGGTATCACTGTTGCTCCTCCAAAGCCTTATAGAGGGGTAGTCACCATCTTCAACTTCTCAGAGGAAATCTTTAGACCCAAGAAGGCTTCCCAAGTGAGGACGTTCACAGTACTTCCCCCGTCAACTAGCATCCTCTTCACGTCAAAATCCGCTATATCGCCTACTATCACTAAGGCGTCATCATGGGGATGCGTTACACCAATCAAGTCCTCTTCGTTGAAAGTAATGCTCTGGTTGAACCTTGCTTTTTTTGGATAGAGCAGACCCCCACGGAACGCGCATAGCTCTTTCTAGCAGAATTTGAGTCGCCGCCCAATGCTACATCTCCGATGATCATGTTTATCACTCCTACCCTTGGCGGGGGTCGATCATCGAGCCTTTGCTTGCCCCTATCATTTTTTACATACTTAGCCAATAGTCCCCACCTTAGTAGGCGCTCAATTTCCTCCTTCAACTGCAGACATTCTTCGATATCATGTTCGTGATCTTTATGAAAATGGCTGTACTTACTTTGATTTCTCTTGCTGGAGGGAGTCAGCATCGGTTTAGGCCATTTGAGCTCTTTCATGTGTTGTATTTCCATTAATAACTTTGTACGTGGGATGTTCAAAGGGGTGGATGCTTGTATCTCCTCTCGCTTCTGCTTGACTGACCGATCCTGGGTATAACCCTTGTTCATGCGTTCATTCTTCGGCTTATTCTTATCAGCGTGCCTCCGCTAATCATTTGTCTTTCACTTATGAGCTTCTATCTCCCATCCATTCTTGAGATTTTGAGTTACCTTCTCCACTTCCTTCGCATCGACGTACTTGTCTCCCTTCTTCAACAGGTCATGCATCGACTCCGGGGGATTTTTGGAGAGTGACATCTTAAAGGCCCGGCTTCGCGTTCCATTCATCAAAGCGGTAACCACTGCGGACATTTGCAAGTCCTTTACGCCCAGAGTCGCCCGACTAAACCTAACTAAGTATTCCTGCAATGACTTGTCCTTCTCCTGTACGACCTGGATCAACTTAATGGCCGTCTTCCTCTTCCTCTTGCTGCTTAGGAAATAAGCCACAAAGCTCTTGGAGAGCTCATCAAACGTCTTGATAGACCGCGGGACCAAGGTTGCTACCCAGTCCCTGGCCTCCCTCCTGAGTGTGGGGGGAAGGACCGGCACATCACTGTGTCCGGGGCCGCGTAAAGTCTCATCAGATCTACAAAGGTCCGCAAGTGGTCAAACGGATCCGTGACTCCGTCATATGCTTCTATCATGGGCTGCTTGAAGCCTTTAGGTAAGGGGACCGCCATGATCTTAGGCACAAATGGGTCTTCCTCCAAAACCATCTGCCTCCACTTATCCTTCATCTTGGATAGTGCGTCATCTATCTTCTGGGCCATGATTTCTTCCATCTCTTGTTCCAGGTCCACAATGGCCTGCGGGGGCTGCTGAGCTAGGACCACCAGAGCCCTCGAATCTCCCGTCGCCTGTCGAGCGATGGGTGGGACTACAGCGGGTGGCGCTTGAGGCGGCTGCTGGTTTGTCACTTCTGTCGGGCTTAATGGGGGGACTACTGCGCTCTGCGACTGGTTTTGTAAGAGCGTCATCATTGTTGCCAACTGAGTCTCCAAAGCGCTGAATTGACTCTGTGTCACATATTGCGGGGGCAGTGGTGGTTTGTGACCCCTTGCAACTGACTCCGACTCCATCTCCGCCGTATTTCCAACCAATCGAGTATCACTCCTTGTTTGTCTTCTCAACATAGCTTTTTAGTTCAAATGTTTCTCATAGACGGGGCCAATGAAATGGTTAAAGAAAGAACCTCCGTGCCCTCCTGGTGGTGTAGGGTGTTTCTGCTGTTCCGATGACCAATTGTTATCTGCAAAAGTGAGGTTGGGGCTTTCTCCCCTGTTGTACCTCCAACGTGAGAATTAGTATCGAATTATGGAGAGTTAGGAAAAAAGGAGATATTCCAATAACTAAAGTTTTTCCAAGATTTTTACCTATTTCACCTTTTGGAGTATTTATAGGCAACTGGAGTCATGTGAAGGCCGGGCAGTTACGGTGCCACGTGTCCCACGTAACCTCTTCCACTGCCCCCACGTTCTTAGTGAGTAACCTCCGGCCCGTTCAACTGCCATTCGTGTTAGTAACAACCATCGCGTGATCTCTACCCAAGTTGTAATTTTTTGCTAAGTGTTGTATTAGCCGCGTAGTGGTGATGAGCCCCATGGTGGTCGACATCCTGACATAGGTATAGCGCGCCTAGGGGTTCGACGTCTAGCGTGGTCGCAGAGCGCCTTGGGGTGGATGTCCCGGCATGGGTACCAAGCGCCCATGCCGAGGGGTCGACGCCTGGAATGGGCGTAGAGCGCCCATGGGGGTCGACGTCTTAGCATGGGTGTTGTATGCCCACGGATGGTGTTGGCTGGCGGCAGAACTCATATCTTATTAGTTGTTGTAGGTAATTAGTGATGTTCAATATCACCATGTATCACAAATATTCATTGCAACTAAGCACAATTGGGTTGGGTTGTAAACGTTCAAGCATCTCTCGTTCACATCGAAATCACCAAGTATCCAGTGGGCTTTCTTCTCCATCATAATTGGAAGAATAACATAATCTACGTCACACCATCCAAGTGTTACAATGCATGTAATCTCTGTTCATAGCTTACTATGTGATCGTAAGCTATGGAATAGTGGTAGAGATTAAGATGCTTCATATCTATGGAAGATTAATTTCTATTATGGTTTTTGGGATTTCTTGAGTTGTATTCTCGTTGAGCGAATTTGGGTGTAATGGTGGAATTTGAGATCAGAACCCAATTTAGGGATTGTGGCCGTAATTAACTTATAGGAAGCGCTTATTTGGGGGATTTGCACGTTTGAATTTATTACTAATTCAAATATTTAATTTTACTGTAATAGAATAGTATTTATGGAGAAAAAATGTTGCAATGTAATATTTGAATATGAATTAAATAAAGGTATCAGGTGTAAATACCTCTAAATTATTTACCAGAGAGATTTCATATCTATTGATGGACTGTCAACTGTCCCAAGCCCATTCGACCTTTTAGAGGTCCATAGGGTTTTAAAGTAAGCCCAAGTCCAATATATTGTAGCCCGCTAAAAGAATTAGGAGGAGGAAATTACATTCCATCATACTTTCGAAGATCAGTTTTCTAAAATCAGGCTCAATGTTTCATTATTCAAAAATCAAATGAAAAATTATTTTTTAAATATTAATAATATTATTATAAAATTAAATTAATTTACATACCTCACTCCACTACACCCCTTGTCTATGCCTACACGTTTTCACCACCACCAAACCCTAATTCATTTTAGGGTTAATAGGACAAAACGTCCCTATGTCTGACAATTGTTGCGGAAAACATTCCTACATTTCATTTTTTTTTTTTGCATTTTCATCCTTATTCTAACGTTTCATTCCTAAAAACGTCATTTTTACCATTTTTGAATGTAAAATGACCAAAATACCCTCCTATTTAAATAAAACCAAAAAAAGAAGAGAAAAATAAAGAATAAATTGCAATCTTACTCCTAAATGTTTTAAAAAGTGCAAGTGAATCTAAATAATTATTAAAAGGCCTAATAACACAAAACATCCCTATGTTTGGCCTATAGTGTGCAAAATGTCCATACGTTTCAAATTGAATAAAATGACGTTTTCCGCAATGAAACGTGAAAATAATGATGAAAATGCAAAAAAAAATTGAAACGTATGGATGTTTTCCGCAAGAAATGTCAAACGTAGAGACTTTTTCACAAGAAGTGGCAAATGTAGGGACTTTTTGTGCTATTAGACCTTATTAAAATTGAAACCATTGCCAAATCGGTGAACCTTCATACCATTTCCAATATACCACCACCCAAACTTCGGCGGCACCACCTATTTCGAAGATATCCATGTCATTTCCAACACACCAATTAACTATATTCACCAGGACGCTTCTCTTCATGGTCTTAAAACATCAACAGATGGTTCAGCGGTATGAAGGTTTGACAGTTTGGGCAATGGTTGGTCGAAATTTTTTCATTTCTAGGGTGGCAGTCCTATTCGTAGAAGAAGAGACTATGAAGAGAAGCATCCTGGTGAGTATAGTTAATTGGTGTGTTAGAAATGACATGGATATCTTCGAAACAGGTGGTGCTGTCGGAGTTTGGGTAATGGTATTTTGGAAATGGTATGGAGGTTCATCGATTTGGCAATTGTTTCAATTTTAATAAGGTCTAATAGAACAAAAAGTCCATATATTTGACACTTCTTATGAAAAACGTCCTTACTTTTAACATTTTTTGCGAAAAACGTCCATACGTTTCAAATTTTTTTGTATTTTCATCCCTATTTTTCACGTTTCATTGCGAAAAACGTCATTTTCATCAATTTGAAACGTATGGACGTTTTGCACACTACAAGCCAAATGTAGGGACGTTTTGTGTTATTATACCTTTTAATAATTATTTAGATTCACTTGCACTTTTTAAAACATTTAGGAGTAAGATTACAATTTATTCTTTATTTTGTCTTCTTTTTTTTGTTTTATTTAACTACGATGGTATTTTGGTTATTTTACATTCAAAAATGGTGAAAATGACTTTTTAGCAATGAAACGTTGAAATAAGGACAAAAATGCAAAAAAAAAAAAAAAAAATGAAACGTAGGAACGTTTTTCGCAATAAGTGTCAAACGTATGGACATTTTGTACTCTTAACCCTTCATTTTACTGCTTCCCCCCTCTCTCTCTACCACCCACCCTCTCTATACCGACAACGCCGTGTGACTGACAACGCTCCTCTTTTAGGGGTGTTGTGTGACCACTATGCACGATCAACATAATGTGGGCCTTGCAGCAGCAAATGCACACGATCACTGCGTCGTGAGCAACGATTGTGTACAGAACTACCGCTACACTCGATCGTCTATCGCGTCTTTGGTGAAGAATATGATGGATTCGAGGTGGTCGTGGGGTTGCAACGACGACAGGTTTAAGGTTTTTTTCGTAGTGTAGTGACAGAAGGAATGGTGGTTGTGATTTTTGGTACGCCTGCTTTTGCGAAATTTTTTTTCGTTTCTATTTGTCGATTTCAGATTGTGAGGTGGTGTGGTGACGAGGTGGTGCCAGATTTTTGGTTCCTATTTTTGTTTGTGAGTTTTCAAATTATGAGGCAGTGTGGCAGTGTTGGCTTTTTGGGTGTCAAATTGTGAGTCAGTGTTGGCGAGGTGGGAAGGTGATGGTTGTGATGTTGGCTATGGTGGTGAGATCGTGGCGATGGTCATAGGTGGGATGATGGTGGAAGGAAGTGTAAATGTTTTGTGACTAATTATTTAGTTGATCGTGACAATTAAATCAGTTAATCTATGACTAATAAATAATGTGTGACCAATTTAAAAGATAAATTGTGACATAAAAATTTTGTTAATTTGTGAGAGATATTTTGATAATTTATGATTGTATAATAAGTTGTGACTTATAATATTTATGATTTGTGATCGATAAATAAATTGTGACTTATAAATTTTTAATTTGTGGCCTTGAACAAATTGTGACTTATAATATTTTTGAATCGTGAGAAAAAAATAATATGTGACTAATTAAATTATTAACTTGTGATCAAATTGTATATATTTGTCACCTTGATATAATTAATTAATTAATTAAATCATAATTAAATTTTAATAAATATATGATTTTTGAAATTTGAAACATTTTCCCTTAATTTTAAAATGAGTGATACTTAACTTAGTTATGAATTTTTCACAAATTGGGAAGATCTCCACGCCCATTACTAATATATTTTTTGGGAGTAGTGTTATCCTTAAAGAATTAGAGTGCTGTCAGACAACACACATACGTAGGGTCCGCATAATTTTTTTTTAATACAGATGGGGCCTGTAAGTGATATATGAAAAAAGTCATGCACATTAGGCATTGCTCATTTTCTGGGGGTTATGCTAGTGTACAAGGAGTGTACCCATCATCACTACCATAGGAACAGAGCAAGTTAGGATCCTGTTTTTTCTTTGGCAGAAAATTGCAGTTATAGTTCCCAGCCGACTGACCTGTGATAAATCCATTCCCCATTCTTTCTTTTTTCGCAGCATCGCCCTCAACCTGCGATTTTTTAACATCAGAATATAATACAAATCGAATTCTGCCAGCACAATGGATTCCACACCGCTCTGAGTTGGAGAAAAAGGGACTGCAGGGGATACCTAACAGATCCCTCGGAAACCCTCGAAATTGAACAAGTTTCAATTCATAATATATACAGAATATGGGTAGAATAGCAGTTGCAATAATTGTGATCTTGTGGGTTGTACCCATTTCCATAATCGTCAATCGCATTGTTCCTGAACCTTATATGGTATTCTATTCTTCTATCTATTTACTGAATTTTGACTGAAAGATTATTTATTTATTTCATCTTTAATCGATTTGAGATTGGCTGACAAGATGTTGGCTGGTTTGATAACACAAATCTTGAAACCCCTTTACTCGTCTGAGCTTTAGGGGGATGGATTTGTTCGTTTGAGCTTGTTGGCTCTATACTGATTATTGGTTCCATCTTAAAAGGTTAATCAAGGGTAGTAGTTCAAGCTCTTACAAAAAATACACTAAAAGTATATGGATGTGATAATGTAGAGATGCGTATGTATTGATGATGGTTGGAATTGCAGGATGAGATATTTCATGTCCCACAAGCCCAACAGTACTGCAAAGGCAATTTCAAAAGTTGGGATCCTATGATCACTACTCCACCTGGACTGTGAGTTTGTATTCCTTGTTTCTTGTTTTATATTTGAATTCATTCACTTCAATTTTATTTTATTTTATTATTATTATTATTATTTTTTGGTGCTTTTTGCTCTCGTTGGGTATTTTCAAGTTTCTGGTCTTATTCTGAGGGGTTGTCAGATTGTGCTGTTATGTTTAGTTATCTGAATATTTATGGATAGATTGATTCAGGCACTTCTTGTTCCATAAAGTTAGTTATGCAAGTTCTTGGTATGGTTATCCTGTATAGAAGATTAACTGAAAGCCATCCAGGGGGAAAGAGAAATCCTTTCCTGGAATTCTCAGAGGACAAAAGTTCATGTAATTTTGCAGGCTGTTGGAGGTGTAAGAGATGAAATGGTATCCTAGAGAATGGAAAGATGAGGGAAAGAAGATAGTCATTGCAAATTTACTCTTCCCACAATTATATCCTTATTATTTTTTTTTTTTTTTTCAAATTTGCTTTACTGAAGGTGGAAGTAAAGCTCTAAAGTAGCGGGTTGTATAGGATTATAACACAAGGATGTGGTCATTCTATTTCTTACCTATGCATGGGAAATATGCAGAATAATGAATGAGATAAGCTGGTAATAGATGGTAAAAGAATTAATAGAGGTAGGCTTACCTGGAGAGGCTGAGATAGATTTTTTCCTAATAAAAGTTGATGTTTGCAATTTAAAATTTTGCAGGTACTTTCTTTCAATTGCCTATGTTGCTTCTTTGTTTCCTGGGATGCATTTCCTGCAACGACTTTCATCATTTTCCAATATTTGCTCGACTTTGGTTCTGCGAACCACCAATGCTTTGCTGGCTGTAATATGCAGCATTCTGATTTATGAGATTATCACTCACTTAAAGCCATCTCTTGATGACAAGAAATCAACTCTTCAAGCAGTGATTTTGTCATTATATCCACTGCACTGGTTCTTCACCTTTCTTTATTATACAGATGTAGCATCGCTAACTGCAGTTCTTGCCATGTATCTTCTAGTTTTGAAGAGGAAATACATGTTCGGTTCATTGGTAAGGGATGATATGGAGTGCATCTTATTTGTTTCCAGTGGGTAATATGTCTTATGGTAATTAATGTTTAATGGTACTAATGTGGCTTCTTCCATTTCTTCTCAAATAATACTTGAAGACATTTCTTTTTAGATGAACTTTGATAAAAAGATTTAATCTCCTGCTCCGGTATGAAATAGTATTATTTGATTGACAGTTTTATGAGAGAGAATTTTGCAGTACAATCTTTCACATCAAGCTCGTTGTGATCATCTTAAGAACTGAAAACTCTGTGCTTCGAATACTGTTATTATAATTTTGTAATGTTCTTCAATGTTCTTATTTGTTCAATTGAGTTTTTCTTCTTTGCAATTTTAGATTTTGCCAATTGAAATCAACTTATGCTTGAGCAATTAGCTTAATGCGGTTGCTAAAGGAGAACCAACGAGCAACTTCAGCATCTTTTTCATTTTTCAAGGGAGCAGATTTTGCTGCAAAAGTAATCGGTAGTTAAAGTCAGTATACCACGATTTACAACCGTATTCACTTTTAGTGAGTCGAAAAAGTTTTTTCTTCTGTTTTCTCACATACCAGCCAAAATATGTTCAAAATATATAGATTATAAATTTGACAATTTTTTATATTAGTGATCATTCCGGAGCCACATATAGTTACAGTATTTATAGTAGGAAAGCAAAGTATCTTTTGTTGGCAGACTTTAGGCACCAAGCATCTTCAGTTTAATGAAATGAAAAGTAGTGGTATTGTCAGTTTATATTAAGATGAGATTCTATATTTTTTCATCCGCTTAGGCAGTTCTGTTTCACACTTTACTTCAATATAGTGTTCATTGACTTGTGGTTTTCCTATATAAGAACTAGTTTTTATTTGTTTATTCATTCATCTGTAGTTTGGAGTTTTGTCTGTGCTTATCCGGCAAACAAATATTATATGGATGCTTTTTGTTGCTTGCGTGGGGGTTCTGGAATTTACAAAGATTCATCAAATCAATAATGTGAGAGTTGACGAATCCAGAGTGTCAGAAAGGAAGGGTGCTCAGTCAGCCCACAGTGAAGGTGTATCTAATGTCTCTAACCTAAGAAAGCGAAGATTCAGTACTAACATGGATGTTCCAAACAATTTTACTTCACAAACAACCGTCAGTTCCACACCCTATGCATCAGGTTTTATCTTAGTTCTTATGTTTTTTGATATACATGTAGTGGTTACCATTATTGCATGCAATGGATGCTCACAAAAAAAAAAAAGCTTATTACCCTGTTTGTTTCTCATTTTTTTCATTAAAATGAAAAATATAACCAATATCTATCACATCAAGTCACCAAATTTGAATTTCTATCTCTTGTGTGGAGCTCATAACGATCATATCTTTCATTCTCATTTTAACAAAAATGGGAAACAAACGCCCCCCATATCTCGAACTCATTGGTCTTTTCTACAGTTAGTAGTCATTAATATGTTTTTTGTAGTATGAAAATCTAAATATAACTGTAATAGATTCGTAGCAGTCTATAATTTGGAATATGTTTTTATTCTTTTTAATTGAAAAATAAATAAAATTGTAATATAGGATGGAGTATTATATTCTTAAAGCATGAATAACCAAAGTGCGGTTGCCATTCTAACTATGCACATCTTTGTGGCATTTCCATTTATTGCAGGTTTATTGGATGAGATTCAGGTCATCATCTTGAAATCATGGCATCTGAAATGGGAGCTGTTGACTTCCTTTAGTCCCTTCTTTATGGTATTTGTGGCTTTTGCTGCTTTTGTTTGCTGGAATGGGAGCATAGTTCTGGGTACCTCCAATCAATCATTTTTACGCTTCTTGTTGTTCTAAAATACTTATTTTTTAATTTCCTTGATGTGGTGAATGATGAAAAGATGAAATAAATATCTCATTTTCGAACCAAAATATGGACATTAGCTCTACATTCTCTCTATTTTGCAGGTGCTAAAGATGCTCATGCAGTTTCTCCCCATTTTGCTCAATTGCTGTATTATAGTCTCGTTTCTGCTGTTTTTACATTTCCTGTGCACTTCACATTAGGTCAAGCTGCAGTTCTACTTAGATCATTCCGTCAAAACAGACTGTTAACTTTCTTCCAGTGGTTTATGGCATTAACTGCTGCCTTCCTTTCTGTGCATTTTTTCAGGTTAGTCATTTGATCAAATTAACATTTTAATCTGAAGCTTTCTTTTGGTTTTAATTGTCCTAGACCATTTGTTAACTCCAAGATAGAGTTGTCGCTCGGTTTTAGATCAGGCCAAAATTGTAATAAATTTTAATTAATGTTGATCAACTTGCAAACATACTCTTTCCTTCGGTTAATTTAAGTTCCTTTTTTACTCTGTTAGAAAGTTTATTTTCCTCCTGCTAAAACATGGTTTGTTAACTCGTGCAGCATAGCGCATCCATATCTCATTGCTGACAATCGACACTATCCTTTCTATCTTTGGCGAAAAATCATTAGATATCATTGGTCAACAAAGTATCTTTTAGTCCCACTGTACACTTACTCGTGGTTTTCAATCTTCAGTAGCTTGGGTTAGTCCAAAGTTCAAGTAAATTTTTTTCTTACATTTCTGTATATAGCAACTCTCCTGAACATATCACTGGTTTTTGCGTTTGCAGTGAAAAGCCAGCAGAAGATCTGGACGCTTGCATATTTTTTGGCTTCTGCTGCAACTCTCATTCCTGCTCCTCTAATCGAGTTCAGATACTATACAATTCCGTTCTTTTTTTTCATTCTTCACTCCAATATCAACAACAGCAAGAGTTGGCTTCTCTTGGGTATTCTTTATCTTGCCGTCAATTGTTTCACACTGTTTATGTTCTTGTTTCGGCCATTCTTTTGGGATCACGAGGCCGGGATACAGAGATTCATATGGTGAAAAGCTAGTCAAGCACTATTGAAAGCTTCACCGATATAGTTTCTCGAGCCTTCCAGTTTGGGAACGGAATTGTTGTGAATGTCATGAAGAATCAAAGTTCAGACTTATTGTTTGGTTCTTCTCGACAACTAGTTTTACTGGTAGGAAGGGACAGGGCCCATTTCAATTATACATCTACTTTTAGCTAAAGGCTGATGGCATATTCTTGGTGATGACTGCAGTTTGAGACAACTGTGATTATATTTGACATGATTGGTTAAAAGAAAAGTCGGGTTTTTTTCCTAGATGGAGCGTGGACACTTAATTTTTTACTCCAGCGATATAAGGCTAGTATGTTTCACTCTCTTGCAGGGTAGTAGGACGGTATATTCTTCATGTTGATCACTGATAAACCCATTTCATATTGTGGAAATTGCGACTGTATTTTCAGTATGTTCATGGATGAAGTTGATTATTTTAAACTGTGATGAGTGTATTATGTGTGCTTATTTACGTGGTTTATGCGTAGCCCCTGTTTGGTTTGGATTAAATCAGATTTTTAGTCAATTTTGATAAAAGTTGACGAAATATGCAAATGAAAAGTTAATAAAAGTTGTGGTCCTATAAAATGTGGGTTGAAAATGAATTTTAAGAAATAGGGTGGGAACATTATTTAAGACAGCATAGAAATAGTTTATAATTAGTTTGATATTTGATATACTGTGGTGAATTTGAACATTAAGACAGCGTAGAAAGAGTGATGTTTGAATAAATAACACCATAACCATTTGAATATGGGAGAAGAAAAAGTAAAATAGTTGGAAGCATTGCACCTACAATTGAGAAGGTACGCTAAGTGATTCAATTGGTTGGCCATATAAATGGATGGGTTTAATTAATTTATACACCACCAGCCATTTCATTTTCAACAATAATATCAATGCCATTTCTCAATTGCTTAGTATTAGGGATGACAATTTGAACCGTTAAAATCGAAAATCACAGTTAATCGAATCGAATGGGACGAAAAAAATCGAACATATGGTGCAATGGGACGGATATGGTATTTAATTTTAATGAACATGTTCGGGGTGGTGGGGGTATGGTATTTACGCGAACCGATTATCTGTTAAATTTAATTTTTTCCATCTAAATAGTAATCCAATGCAAAACACGTATAAAAAAAATATCTAATTTTGCAAACTCCACGTGGGCCTTTTTTCTTCATTTTTGCAGTCACACATGATGATTATCAACTCACTTACTCTTGCAGCAAACTCAATCAACAATTTCAGTTTCAAAAAACTTATTATCTTACGATAAATTTGATCATTTGATTAGTTTTAGGTATCTGGATTAGCTTGAAATTAAATATACATAGTCTTTGTCTTTCTTGATTTTGTCATCGGCAACCTAGACATCACCTTTTGTACCATAAATCACCGCCTTCTTACAGATGTACCCTCTATCGGCCCTTTATACAATTTTGATCTGGTAAGTGATCAACAACGTAAATTGTTTGAATTTCTCCAATATAATTCACTCGACTATTAATTGAAAATCATCATGTGTGACTTTTTTTCATAAATTGTTTTTTTCAATTTAACAACTGGACTTATGAAAAATAATTTATTTTCATAGTTATTAATTGCCCCAAATCGAGCTGAATCGAGATACGAACCGAACCAAACCAAAACCGACTTAAGTGGTTATGTTGCAGTTATGGTATGACAAAAAATTTGATGGTTCGGTGATGATTTTGGTCAAACCGACCCCGAACCGAACCATTGCCAACCCTATTATGTATGAGCGTGCACAATTAGTCACCTTAAATGGTGCAAATGAAAGAAGGGTAAAACAATAGTGAGATTAAATAAAGAGTTAAATAAAAACAAGTGGAGATTGTGAGATCATCCTAGTCAAAATCCCACCAGACGAACACCATCTTTTGTTTGACATTCATTACATCGACGAGTTGGACGACAACGTAGGACCGAGTCCGGATGTCTTGGGGGATATCATGATCATAAGTTTCGACAACGGTGATGGTAGTGAGATATCTTCTCTATCCGTTGTTGAGGACATGTAGATGTCTTCGAACATTATCATGTTGTGACCACTTCAAATAAGAAACGCATTGTTATTGTCATGATTTATTTTGACGTAGTAGTGAATTAATGTAGTTTAACAGTTTACGAACTCGTCGATTTTGAATTGTTGTAATTTGAAATTTAGTACGTCGCTATACAATGATGTTGAAATCATAGTACTAAATTTATGTTTTGTACTGTTCTTCAAATGATTACTAAGTATTGAAATGAACTAAGAAAATAAAGTAAAAATGCAAACGTATATTATTCATGAATGACAAATTCGATGTTAACATGAATACAAAAAACACTCAAGTGCCCGAGTTAGTCAATGGTCCTGGGTTCCTACATGTTTGCCTATTGTATCCATAACCTCTACACCGTCAACATGTTCACGTGCTCATCAATCTTTCTTTCCAGCAAGATTAAGCTTTTCGAATAATTTATTGACAAACTCTTCATATGTAATGTCATTTCGAATAACAAATTATGTTGTTCGATTCCAAAACCATTTTCACTTGTCCTCTATGTTGACGAATGTATCACCATGCGAGATAATGAATCTCCTAACGTCTCTCATATCTACATGCATAAACTCAAATAACATTAGCTAACACGAATACTTAAAACAAATATGTTACTCGTAAGCAATATAGTCAATGGTAAACATAAAATATTCCCTAGCTTTGCTAAATTTGTAACATAATTCTCAACATTTATAAAATGTTGAGAACGATATATCAGCCAAACACTTAAATATATGCATTTATCATCTTCTTCAACTTCAATAACCATTTTTGCAAGGAATTTATTCTACGATTAATGGCATTGTCAATACATTACAACCATTGCAAATTCATCTATCAAAATTATTTAAATAGGTTGTGACACCATGTGTGAGAAACACAAAACAATAAATATGAATTTGATTTTAAATTTTCTCAAACAATTTTACAACAAATATCAACTAGTTTGAAAAATCTAATTATCCATTGACATTATATATATCACAACAATTATTAAACACAACTTATCAAAAAAATAAGATTTCAAAGAAAATTTACATTCTATCGAAAATTGTGGATGAAATTAAATTTCTCAAAATGAAATTATATAATTTTCTTATTGATGTTACCAAATACTGTTCCCGACGTATACAAACCCGAGGACTCTATTTCGTCGATTTGTGTATCAGTATGCTCGGGATATATGTGCTCGGCATGTCTTTCACATGCCCGAGCTCTTGACCCAAGAGTTTGTGGAACGTCATTCGACGTGTCCTCGGGATTATGTCCTCGACATGTCCCCGGCGTCAACGCCTTATCCAATAAGAAATTTATTCTGACTTAAACTCCTCAACCTATGTCTCCTATGCCCAGAAGAACTCTATTAAATAATTGGTATCCCAGTTATACCACAATTCAAACTCCTATCTCGCGTAGGACTCATTGGTATAAGATTGCAAAATCAAGCTGTCCTATTACAAGTGCACTACGGAATCCTAGCATGAACACACCACCTACCTCTATAAATACAAAGCCCTTGATCATTATTCAGGTACGTTTTACAAAATTTTCAGTTCGTAGCCTTACGCACAAATTCTCTCTCTGACTTAAGCATCGGAGGGGCGACGAGGACACACATCGACGCCTTTGTTTTAGGTACCGGATGATCTCGTTCGTGCTCACTATCAGTCGTCAGGCTCAGAAAATCAACAGGTACGATTTTTGGTAGCATCATTGGCGCCGTCTGTGGGAAGCGCTACCAAAAGCCATGGTTAACACACGTTCAGGTCTTCCACCAGCAAGCTCATCCGCTCCAAACCAACCTCCTCCTGAGGATAGCCTTGTTCTTCAAGAGGAATCATCAGAAGTGCCAGAGCCCCAGCCGGCAGTCGTCACTACCGGAGCCTTTGAAGAGCTCAGACAACAGGTCGCCACACTGACTCGGCTGTTAAGTCAAAGGAATTCGCATCCGTTACCCACACCGGCACTGCAGGGGGGTTTTATGGCTGATACTCGAGCTCAACGACACGTCCCTGACAATGGTGGAGCAGGGGCCTCGGGCATACCACATGTGACCTCGGCCTCGAGATCAATGACCATGGAGTCCGGAGAACTCGCTAGGATTATTCAAGAAGGAATTACGGCATGCCTACTTCAGGGTAACAAAGGGTCAACAAGATTCGGTCCCAACACTCCTTTTACTCCTGAGATATTGACATTCCCCTTGCCAGACAGATTTAAGTATCCTAGGATCAAAGAGTATGATGGGATCACCGATCCAATCAATCATCTTAACGTATACACGGGCATCATGAATCTACAGGTCGCACCTGATCAGGTGATGTGCAAGGCCTTCCCGCAAACTTTGACGAATGCTGTTAGGGATTGGTTCTCGACCTTAGAGCCCAACTTCATAGCCTCATTCTCAGATTTGGCGGACAAGTTCTCTGCTTTCTTCGCAAGCAGTAAACGCATCAGGAAGATAGCGGCTTCCCTCATGCAACTTAGACAAGGGCAAAATGAGACCCTACGTTACTTCATGACCAGGTTCAACAAGGAAAGACTTCAGATTCCCGACCTACATATAACTGCAGCAGTTTCTGCCCTCACATATGCCATAAAGTGTGAGGCTTTCAAGATGTCGTTATCCAAAACTCCGCCAAAGACAGTGACCGAGCTTCTTACCCGAGCCGAGAAGTACATAAATATGAAAGAAACACTGAACCCGAGAAAGGTTGGACCATCCCATGATAGGGTCAAGCATAAAGGACAGTATGACCCGAACCCCCGTCATTCACGCGTAAATACGTCAAAAACAAATATATTGATGGAGATCAAGGATATGAAGGAACTCAAATGGCTTGCCAGAATGAGGTCACCATCCGAATCCAGGGACATGAACACGTACTGTGAGTTTCATCAGGATCATGGGCATACCACGGAAAACTGTAAGGCCCTGCAACGGGAGATTGAAGCCCTTATTAAAAGAGGACTCCTGAGTTCCTACGTCGTTAACGACAAACGCTCAAGGAACAATATCATCATTGGGGGTATTGCCTCGGGAGGAGATTCGAACAGTGGAAGAAAACAATATGCCCGAATATACCTTGGCCTCTGGGATGCCTCATGGAAAGCTGGAAGATATTACTTTTGGAACCAGGAACTTGGAAGGTGTATCAGTTCCACATGATGATGTTTTGGTCATCTCAGCGATTGTGGCCAATTTTGAAGTAAAGAGAATCTTGGTTGGCAACGGGAGTGCGGCCAATATACTTTCACAAGAGGCTTTTGCCAAAATGGGAATCTCATCTCAGCAGCTCAAAGCGGTTAAAACTCCTCTCCAGGGGTTTGGGGGAAGAGTCATCACTCCAGAGGGTGTCGTCGAGCTTCCTCTAACTTTGGGTTCTGGCCAGAAACA